GTTGTTATCATTCTTTGGGTCTTATTTATCTCCTTATCTTTGGACTAATTTTTGGACCAGAAGTGCTTTTCGTCTAGTTTTCATGTGTTTGTGAGCTTTTCTTGTCCAGAAAATCGTTCATCCTTTAACTATTTGGAGGCAAGTTTTATCTTTTTATTTCACTGTATATGTGTTTAAAATCGTCATTAGATAAACATAAACTTTCTGGTTTATGCTAGCTCAGACTGCATAGATCCACGCTTTGTAATTGATCCTACCCTTTTTCCTTTATAATTGCATGTAGTTCTACTTTTATCCAATCGACATGATGACCTTAATGACAAAGAAGGAGTTTTAATGAATCACAAACAAGGCTTATTAAATTATGGCATGGTTAAGGACTGACCGAACGGATTTCTTGCGAACTCCTGGCTGATAGGATGAAGTTTTAAGAGTTACTGTTTTTCTTTGCAAGACCGCAGCTATACTGAGCCATAATATATAATATTATATATAGGTTATTGACCTCTAGAATACGTCAGACAACTTAAAGAAGCATTAATAATAGCTGTGTATCGAAGAACCCCCTAGTAGATTGATACTGGCATACCTGTCCGTTCGTTTTAAAGGGCGAGTGGAAGAGATCCGTAAAGTGGCCTCACAAGATACCAAAGGATGGTTGCCTTGGACTTATGACTATTGAATTGTGCAAAAAAGACCTTACTTTACCATTCTGCGAACCTGATATATTCATGTTGAGTCTTTATCCGTCGTATAATGGACATTGTTACAGACAGAAACCAGTATTTACGAACAGTCATCAAAAAAACACATAACGGTTTCTGGCTCAAGTGATGTCCGTCACAGGGCGGATAAAAGCTCAGCAAGGACACATTGGAGTCGCAAAACGGTGAGGTGAGATCTTTCTGGCACAATCCAACAGTCATTAGTCCAAGGCAACCCTCCTTCAATATCCATTAAGGCCAATTTATGAATCCCTTTTAGCCACTTTTCAAGCGAAATGAAAGGTATTCCAGCATTAAAGATGCCTTCTCTTAAGGTTCAACTTGCTTGATATTATGAATACGTAAGCAAAAGTTATGATATATATGTCACAGATTGCCGGCGACATTTAGATAGTATTTTAATCTTAATTCCGAATCAATAAGCTCTAAACCTATCTCATTTCAAGAAGAATGCGGGTAAGATGCACATATAAAGCAGAACCCCGCATATTAAAAATCAATGAAAGTGAATGAGTATGATTTATTTAATTTAGATGAACTTCATTAATATAATCGAAAGTATGAAGACCAAGATGGTGTGGCCTTTTGTGTGGTCGTAGTCTCCTTTCGTTGTATAGAAGTTGTTTGA